ATAAAAAATGCCTTAAAAAAATCAACATGATATAAAATTGGTGTTAAAATAAATTCTTTTCTTAAAATATCAAATAATACTTTGGCTTCTTTATTCCACTGAAGTTTGTCTTTATAAGTCAAACATATAAGTAGACTTGCAACTTGAGAATTTTTTTTGATGAATATTCAATGATAATTGAAAAAGTTCAAAAAATATTACACATTTTTTTATTATTTTTAGAATCTTCCAATCTATAATAGTTTGGACTTCTTTCGGATCCATCATTAGTCCTTTGTTGGAATAGTGTGGAATATACAAAAAAATTTTGTTTGATTGAGTTAATAAAAAATTCTTAAAATTAAAGATAGAAGATACTTATTCTTAATGGTAATCTTATTGAGTCCTCAATAGTCCATATATATCTACAAAGATCTATCTTTTTTCTTCACAAATAAGATAAGAGCTCCGGTTGGAAATTTAGAATGGCGTATGCAATTCTTAGCTAAGTTCTCATCAATGTACTCTTTGAAAGAAATTATCTTGTTTTGTAATAGGCTGTAGATTGGTCCAAATGGTGGTTGAGTTCGTTTGTACAGATCGATGGAATAATCATGAAGACAATGCTCTAGAAAAATATCTCTCTCTCTCTCTCTCTCTCTCTCTCTCTCTCTTTCTATATATATATATATATATATATATATATATATATTTATAAACATCTAAAACATCTTAATATCTTCTAAAAATATTCCTTAATATTTCAATAATAGAAATAAGTATGGCATATAAAGCAAAAGATAATCCTTCTTTTACAGCATGCATAAAAGCTCTTACATCTATCAATAAGAATTTAGATATATTAAATTTAGATATTTTTACTTGATTAATGGAATTTTAGATTAAAATATCAAAAAAATTAAAGTTACAAGAAATCCAATCTATCTAAAACTATATTTTTAAAACTAAGATAATTCTAAAATAACCAAATTAGATAGAGATCTTATTATATTAAATGTTACTATGCTATTATGATCTTTAATTGCTACATCCAAAAGAAAAATCTCTTGCATAAGATCTCCAAAAGTTAACAAACAATCATCTATGTCTTCTACATGTACAGGTTTAGTTTTCTTGACTATCAATATCTCTTGTATTTTGACAAAATCTTTGTCTATAAAACATGTTAAGGCTCTTGAATCTAACAAAGCTAAGACTTTGTGATTTTTTGGTCTTAAATAAACTTCTATTATAAAACAAAGTGAACAATCAAACGAAAGAATAAGACCTTTACTAGAAATTATTCAAGATTCTAGTCATACAATCCCTATTGTAGCTGTAAAAACTTGTTTTCTCATTGATTGGCATCTTTAACAACCATGCTTCTTATTTTGTGGTTGCATTGTTTCTTTTGAAAATATTGAGCAATGTATTAAACTTCTCCATAGTATAAGCATAAGCCTTCTTAACATTGTCAAATCTTTTTTTGGTCCATGAGGGATTTAAAATATATCATATTAATTTGTATTGATTCTGGCCATGATTGTAAGTTCTCAATTATGCTCTAAAATTTAAATTTTTATTATTTCCTTATTTCATGATAATTAAGCATGTTAGATTAGGATTTATATAAGTAGAATTTAGTTTTATAGAATTTTTAGAATTGCAACCTTTGATGGTATAAATTATAGGCTAATTCCTTCAGTTAGATTAATTATGACCAAAGTATTAAGAGTTAGAAAATTAAGATAGCAACTTAATTGTTTTAATAATTTAAAGGTTGTTAGTCACTACTATGAGGATTGATTAAGAGCCTATGAATTCACCTATAATCATCTCAGATGATTTAGAGTGAATTAAAATTATAATTTTTTAAAAGATCTAATAAAATTTACTAATGAAAATTTTGAGATTTATTCCAAATTCAACAAATTTAAGTGGCATAGTGGTTCTTCTATTCAATGGAAGTCTTTCAAATGCAATGGTGGCACAGGTGTTGTATTACGTGAAGTTTGGCTTGAGAATGCATCAAACACTTAGCTATAGAAGATAAAAAGAAAATTGCAACAACAATAATAATAAATTGATTTGGTACTCCCAATAATAATAAACGTACTCCCAATAATAATAAATTGATTTGGTACTCCCAATAATAATAAACGTACTCCCAATAATAATAAATTGATTTGGTACTCCCAATAATAATAAATTGATTTGGTAATTTCATAATGTGTTACTGTAAAAATTTCAGTGTTGAATATTATTTAAAGTAAATATATTATTTTTAGAAATAAAAATCATAATACTCATAATAAACAATATAACATCAAGCCTAGATAGAGAGTCAGTTTTTTAAAATCATTTGAATTGTAACATATCCATAAAAAATCCAATAATACTAACTGGGATATTGTAAAGGCAAGGAAAATTTCTCTTTCAAAGTTGCTGTTGTAGATACAAAAAATTGAACAATATCTCTAATTACAAAATCATATTACATTATTTTTTTTTTCTAAATCACAGATCACTACATATCTGTCCACTTGGAGATATGTATGAGCATGAAAGGAAAAAAGAAAAATGAAAATGAAAATGAAAACAAAGGCTTTTGACAATTTTGTTCATTAATTTATTACTTTCTCTTATTCTGTTTTCAATAAGATATGAAAACAGTGTTAATATTGAAAAATAAATTCTTGCATTCCTTTTAGAACATGGGTAAGAAAGTGATTTGTTCCCTATACTTACTCTGAAAATAGGTTTAGGTAATGACTAGTTTTTAAATAAAATGATTTTATATATTTAAACAATATATGTACTTACACAAGAAAGAAATGACGTGTTAAAGAAGAAATAAAAATAATATAAATTTCTAAAAACATGATTTTAAAAAATAAACCTTTTTCCGAGTTGTATGCTATAAAATATATCAACTTCCATTCATTTTTTACTAATTTTTTTGAAATTATTATTTTTTTTATATTTATATTATTAAAATTTTATTATTTAAGGTTAAATTTTATTTTTTTATTTTTTTTGTGTGCCTCATAGTGATTGAGGTCTATATTGCACAAATGAAAATAATTTTTCAACTTCTTTCAAGCATAGATATTTAATTTGTATAATGTATCATATCAAAAAGATTAACCACTTTAATATAATTATGTTAAATTATGATATAAACTTTTATTACTGCATTGATGTATTGAAAATCACAATAATATCATGGTCTTGAACAAACCAACAGAAAACAAATATTCTTCAATAACTGCATTATCAATGCTGAACAAGTAAAAAGAAATTACATCATGTTAAAGGATATTTTGTAAACAATAAATTTCAAATAGAAATACAATTTTTAATGTTAATAAAATGCCCTGAAGAAAATTTAAATGATTAAAGGAATCACATACATACGTTTCAAATTGAAAAATGAACAGGCACCATGATCCAGGCAACTTGAAAGGTACATTTTCTGGTTTTTAAGAAGAAATGCAATTGTCAAGAATATAATCTATTTTATTATTAATTTTGTATAATTATTAGTTAAAGTAGATTTAGAATTAAAAAGTATGAAAAAATCAATTTAAATTTTATTCTACTTTATTTCTAGGGTGTTGCTAATGTCAACATTGTGTTAGTTATATGCACCACAACTTGCCATCCACCACATGCTATCATAGTTTTTGCTAATGTCACTATATATTGCCTTAAATTTGTGTTACAAATCACAATATATTTTATGGAATACTACTAATAAATTTTATTTATTAATGTGCAACACTAGTTTAGAGTAACTTGTGGTGGCATTAGCAAAAATTGTGATGGCATATGGTAGATGGCAAGTTATGGTGGCAATAACAAAAATGATGGTGGTATTAGCAACATCCTATTTTTATATGTTATTTTTTCTTTCTTTCCACCTTTTATATATCATATCCTCTAATATCATTACTCCATCAAAAATAAAAGTTGTGGTGTACCTATGCAAATTTCTTTGTATTGACTTTGTTATATCTTTCTATCTATTTAGAAATGAATGAACAAAATAATGAGACAGTTACATGAATAAAGCATTCACATTAATTTTTTGACTCTTAGATTATATATATATATATATATATATATTAGTTCATTCACTATTTTGACATAATTTTATCATAAGTTATATTAATCTCTATATCTCTACATGCTTGCCATTGGGCATTAAACTATAAAGTGAAGGAAATTGAAAACACTCATGAATTATAATATAAAAAATCATTAGAAAAACCCAATTCATTAACAATTTATTATCAAACCTTTAAAACCCCATAGTATCACACCATCACCACTTTTCCGCTTCATTTCCCAACTCCAACACCCGTATCCCAACTAGACGAATGGATGAATATGGAACGAAACCGATGAAACGAACGAATCCATTCATCCAAGACAAGTCCAACGAGCATTTCCAGTTGAACCCCAGGTGGACACACAAAATTATTGGGATTCGTTTTAAAATGCTGTTAAATTTGGTGCCGAACCGACGCAACTCAGTTTTAATAATGCTTCCCAATCACGCTCGTAGACTCAATGCGGCAATCAAACTGGCCACTTAAGCATTTTGGGAAGGGGTACAAAGTAAACGAGAGAGCTTTGTTTGTTTCATGGTTTGTATCTTTTCCACGCCATGCGTTGCTTGTGTTGTAACAGAAAAAGGGGAATGACTCTGCACAGATTAACACACAACTTGGGTTTAGTATTTTCGGTACAGTTCTTTTCCATCCAGAATAAGTACGAGATTTTGCAACTTTTGAGGAGCTGTAGCAGTCATGAGATGTGAGATTCTGCGAGGCCAGCTTGCTTTATGGCATCTGGAGTACTTAATGTTTTTTACAAGTTCATTTTTATTGAACGATGGGTTCCTTGACTTGTCATTCACCCCGGCTTAAGCGTGACCGAAGTCCAGCCGTTGAAAAGGTCTTATAATATGAGAGGCGAGGAGAGTAGACAATAATGCTGCTTCTGATTAAAAAATTTGTGTTACTGGGCAACAGTTGGTCCAACTCTTCCCCATCGCGATGGAGCTGGCTTCCTCAATCATTGACCGAAGCCATGATTCATTTGCCTGTCTTGCATGCTTCCTCGTTGCGTCCCACCCGGAGATTAATTCCATTACCTGCATTAATGGTTTGGTCATCAGCCGTTTCGGGATCCCGCCCGCTGGAGGATTCAGCTGAAGTTTCAGTACGGAGGAGGGCGGTGTGTGTCTGTGTGTGTGTCCGAGCCGCGTTCTTTGCATCAGGGTATGCTCATTGCTGCTTTATTGGAATATGAGAATAAATGGTATTGAACTTCGACTGTGTTCTTGTTGATGTGATACCTGTATTGCTTCTGAATTTGTGTTTCATTTTGTGTCGCATTTGTATTGTGTGGAGTTGGGTCTCCTCATATACTGATTCTATCCCAACTTGTCATCGTTAGATGGGGTGCCACTTAAGTGACAATTCGGGAGTGGTCAAGAGATCTGTCGGACAGTTTTAGAAGAGAGACGGGGATTCGGAGCTGATAGATCATCGGACAATGAGCAGTGCGAGAATTGTGAATTGAGTCGTATTCGTTGTGTCTCTCTAGGAATATCCGATACTTAGTCATGAACAGATGAAGTCGATGGAATGGTGATACTGCAAGTCACACGAGTTAGGGTGACGGTGTTGTGAAGCTGTTCATTCACTACTGCCAATTGAATAGATTTCGTAGTTTTTTCCAGCTATCGGCATTGTTCCTGGCAGTTGAAACACAAATTCGTCAACGCCGATGCTTTTTTCCCATTCTATTTGTGCAGTCGTTTTCTCGGAAGCTTTCAAGCATGGGCACTTCAATTCTGGAATGGAATGGGTCGGTCTGTTAATAATATCCTTCCATGTGGCAGGTGTAGTGTATTAAGTCTTGAGCGGTGATGTCACAAGTAGCGATTCGGTTACACAACTGGTGGAGCCATTGACCTGATAAAACAATCGCATTAGAGTGGGTTGACGATCAGGTTCAGCAATGGGACGGGGTCAGCAGATGAGTACTCATGTAGAAAACGAAGAGGAGGAGAAGATCCACACGACTCATTTTCGAAGTACGGCGTGGCCGAGGAAGTTGGTTTGTGTGGTGGGGTTATTTGTGGCTCTCTTCCTCTTCGCAATTGTGCGCTCTTACTCCTCCGATACTAATCCAGAAGTTCCTTTGAAGATCACCGAGTTCTTCGAAGGGCAGCCAGCACCAGACGCTCTCCATGAAGGGCCTTTCATGGTGTGTTAATCTTAACACCTTTCCTACTCGTTTCTATCTTTAGTCCTTTAAGCATTCATCTGATGGTTAGGTCAATTTGCAGGACAAGTTTTTTTTTTTTTTTTTTGTTTTTTTTTTTTTTTCTGCATTTCTGAAAGTGCAAAATTTATTCACTGCAGGAGGATGTCCCATACTCCACCGTGATCATGGTCAATCAAACTGACCACGAAGAAACAGAACCAGAAAGTAGCAACGAGAATTCTAGGTTTCCTACTTTCGACAGTTCAGCAGGTAATAAGGCCAGTGCAGCTGGAAAGGAAGAAGCTTGGGCGCCCAACTTAGAGACTGACAACACAAATTCAAAGGAGTTTGACATCAAATCCTTGAAGGTTTCTGCAAATGATACCTCATCTTATCTCAAGAATGTAACAGGACATGAGGATAATGCTCCAAATAACAGAGATTTGGAGGTCCCATCCGAAAGCCCTTCACCGGCAGTGACTCTCTTTTCTGAGCGCAGCGATAATGTATTTAAGGAGAGCTATGAAAACTTTACAAAGGAAGCTGAAGCACCTGTGCCTACACCATCACAGACATCGCAGAAAGAAAACTCTGAACGTGTGATTGTGTTGGAGGAGACACAGGCGCCATCTACATCCCTCAATACCTCTAATTCTACTGCTTCTGAAGGTCAGAAGTCTCACCACATGTTTCCAGTTCAGTTGTTTGATTTCATATGTTGCGGCGAGTTCGAGAGTGATCTTGACTGGAAACGCTTGTCGGTTGCAGGGGAATGTGATCTAGCGCTAGGCAAATGGATTCCGTACTCTCGCCCTCCGCAGTACAATAGCAGCACTTGCAAGACTATTCAAGGCCATCAGAACTGCGAGAAGAATGGCAGGCCAGACACTGGATATTTGTACTGGAAGTGGAAACCTGACCTCTGTGAGCTGCCGAGAATTGACCCTGCAAAATTCTTGAATGCTATGCGCAATCGGTCCATAGTCTTTGCTGGAGACTCCATCGCCCGCAACCAGTTCCAGTCTCTCCTTTGTGTACTTTCACAGGTACTTCCTTCCAGATTTTCGGTCAATTTGAGGCTTAGAAAGCATGTCTAATAATCGAAGTGTTCTTGTGGGATGGGGTGAGATGAGGTCATTCATATATATTGCTTCCCGAGGTGTCATTCAGGTGGAGGATCCAAGGCGTACTTTCCACACACAGGACGACAAGAACAATGCATACCTCTTTCAGTCATTCAACGTTTCATTGGGGATATACTGGTCACCCTATCTAGTGCGCATGGAGGACAAGTCGATCACCTGGTCTGACAACTCTACAGACACGGTGACGCACATCTATTTCGACGAGCTTGATAAAAATTGGTTAAATGCTGCAGTTGGTGCTGATATTCTACATCTATCAACAGGTCATCATGCTGTTTACCTTCCCTACTCTTCTGTAGGTTTTGCAGCACTCACGATGTAAAACGAGGGGACTTCAACAAGAGGATTTGAGATTGATGGTTACATAAATTTTTTTTTATCAGAAGCTGATACTGTGTGTTGCTGGGTTGTTTATCAGGTCAATGGTGGTACAAGAGGGCAATGTACTTCGAAGGAGGCAAAGCTATAGGTTGCCACGCATGGCCAGCCTGTTTTAAGCAAATTGGGTTCGCAATGCCTTACGAAAAAGCCCTCGCTTACATTCTTAAGGGGAGCTTGTCAATACCTGGATACCACGGCACCACAGTCTACCGATCCTTTGGACCTGAGCATTTCGAGCATGGAGATTGGAACCATGGCGGAAAATGCAATCGTACTGCCCCGGGAGGCGTACCCACCAGCTTTTTGACGGGGTGGATGTACAACATTCAGGTCAAACAGTTCAAGAAAGTTGCAGGTTGCTAGTCTCACTCACATCAAACCCTCAACCGTTTAACACACACATACACACATAAATTTATCTATATATATATATATATAGATATAGATATACATTTTGGCGACGTGAATAAGTAATTGTTTCTAACGTTGAAAGACAAAATAACAGCAAGAATCTTTGTAATATTGTGATGATTGCAGAGGAGCTTGATGAAGCGGCTAAGGGCCGGCTCAGAGTGCTGCGCATAACTGGGCTTGCACAAATTCGAGCAGATGGACATCCCAATAAGTACCGGTCAAAAGATGACAAGAAATTCGACAGCCAAAACCTCAATGTCGTCAGGAACGACTGTCTCCACTGGTGTCTCCCAGGGCCCATCGACACATGGAACGACCTTCTTGTGGAGTCTCTTCGTGACATTATCTTCAAGTGAGAAGCTCAACACTCGGCGGTACTTCGAAAATCGCAGGTAGCTTGAGAACCTGCACAGCGTGCTATTGACGTGAGAGAAGCCAGATTATGGTGAAGAGCGAGCATTTCTTCTACTCTAGAACTTCAATCGCACATCCCCTTCGATTCTCAAGGAATCTGTCTCGGCATTTCGTCTCTGCAAAAGCACATCTCGTAACATGTGCACATTCAACGCACTGTTCAGAACCAACGATGATGGAGATGCCGAAGATGAGAATTCTCATTAAAAGCTAGAGAAGTCACGAAGATTCTGAATCACATGCGAAATCAAAACCGGCACTTTTATCAGTCGCTGCAAAAGTGGAACAGAAGATGAGCGAAAACAGCAACAAGAGCTTATTGTAAGATCATGAAGTTCGTGAAGGAAACAGTTCGAAAAGTACATCCGGCCATAGTAAAAAAAAATAGGAATATGGGAGCATAGTATTGATGTATGGTAAAGAATTCATTGCAAATTCCAAGATGCTTGGTATCTATGACGCTTTATGTCGTTCTTGGCAATGTACCCAGGATAGGAAAATTGAGGTTGACTGATGCTTTTCAATTAAAATAAACCAGGTATGGACAATTCAAGTTCATTGTTTTATTTCTATTTACTTGTACCATTCTGTGGCAATGGTTTCCCTGCAACATGTTGGAACAACCCCCTCTTGGAAAATGGGTTTGTACAAAGCACAACATGTTTGAAGGTGGGGTTTTTACTTCTGGTGCATTAGATGATGGGTGTTTCAGTTTCCCTTCCAAACAATGGTTACTAGGAAATTGAGTTTGCTACCAGTTTGTGAGTTTTTGTGAATTTTAAAATGAGTAAATAAATGGATGGATAAAACTTTGGAAACGTTTTATTTATATATGAATAAGAGCATAGTTATTTAGGTAATTAGAAAATATATTTTATTAAATTTTATTAGAATATGTCAAAAGAAATATTATAAAGCATATTTTAATTTTACCGTTACAAATCTGTGATTTGTTTAATTTTTTCTTGTGCTCTTTTCCTTATAATATTGATTTTAAATAATTTGTATTATAGTATTTTAACTTTTTTTGTAATTATTTTTAGTACTAGACAATGTCAATATATTCTTTTAATGCATGTATTATTATTTAAATATTCTTCTTTTATTTTTTTAGGTAAATATTATATTCAAATATATATATATATATATATATAATATTTTTAAATCTTTAATTTTTTAAAAAATAATTTTAATATTATTTTTAATTTATTTTACGTTATAATATCATACTATTAATAAGTTTTTTTAAAAAAAACATACTATGACTACTATTGCTTGAAAAATGTCCTTCAAATCCAACCATTTTTTCTTTACCTACTTAGGTGGTTTTTTTTTGCCTTGACTATTTTCTTACTTTAATTGGTCTTCTTGCCTTGCCTTCTTTTTTAATCTAAGTAGAGGGGTAATCTCTTTCAATGTCCACTTTAGAGATTTTACTACCTCTACATTTATCTTTGGATTATGTTTCCTTGTCTTCCTTCTATAGTTGTTCAATATTCTAAAATTGCCAAGCTATTTCTTCCTTGATTCATTCTTCTTCTTTTGTTAGAATGAATAAATCTTTATATGAGAATAAGTAGTATATTTAAAAAGATATAAAAGATATTGTCTTCTTTTATATATGACGAATAAGAATTAGTATTAATAGTAATCTTTAAGATCAAATTGATAAGAAGCTTCATTTAATTTGATATCTAAGTTTTCATAATTACCTTTGCTAATATTATTACTTAATTCTTTTAATCCACTTTGGATTGTCAAGGTAGAAAATTGAGATCAAGAATTTAAATACCTTCTTATATCAAACATCTTTTATTCCACCAATCTAATATCTATTTTTTGGATTATAAGAGTCAAAGGAAAAGACAACCATAATTATAGGTATCATCTTCTTATTCTTTTATAGCAAATTACTTCCTTCATTCTTCATCTAATAAACGTCCATTACTAAGAGACAATCTTATCAATTTGACTCTCTTTGGATTGTATTTTCTATATCCATTAGTACTTCTTTTGAAATAAACTTGTCAACTATACTCTTGTCCTTGAACCACTAATGCATTGTATAGAGATGGCTGTACTTCAATGTATCCAAATCTTCTTGCAATGAATTCTTCTTCATATTATTAAGATGATTTGTTAGATTGAGTCTCTTCGATTTCACGACCACTATGGATTTTGCTACCTTTTGCACTAATCTCCTCATTTCTCTATTTTATTTGTCTAATAACTCTTAATACTACTACTTTGTACTAACTATTCTTAATACTAACTATATTAATTGCTAACGAAACTTGATTGTTCAATATTAAGTGTCTTAGTTGTTGTTTCAATGTAGTGTGAGGCTCTTTGTTCCTTCTTATCTCCAACTTAAGCACAATTGTCATCTTATCTTGGTTAATTCTAGAATATGTTGTAGAATAGATTGAATTCTTATCTTCTATTGTAGTCTTTTGTCTCTCCATCCTCATCAACTCAAATATTAAATGAATTGGCTTTGGACCAATTATACAATTTTAATAGTATTATCCATTACTTTACAATAACTTTCGAAATACAATTTGCTTCTTATGCTCTTCTACTTCAAGACTTAAGTTGATCCTAACCCTAAGGTTGGTTTGAGGTATAATAGTGATCCAAATTGCATTCACCTCTCAGTTTTTCTTCTTCAATCCCTAGTACTTTTTTTATTCATTCTATCTATTCTAGCTACCTTAATTTTATCTCTTGTGATTTACTCAAATAATTAACTTAGTACTTTTAGTCCTTTTAAAATTCTAATCTATTCTATTCCAAAATTTTGGTTTTCACACTATTCTTTCTTAATCACTTTCTTCAAATACGACTATTAATACTTTTACAAATAAATTTAGATCATAAAAATTATAAATCTTTTTTAATCAAAAAAACAAACAAAAAGAAAGTACTCTCAAATAGAAGTACACATATATATCCAACTCAACTAAATCCATTAGAATACTAGAAAGGATGTAATTTTAAATGAAGCTTTATTTGTAGTATAAATCTTTAAAATTTTGAACTTATTCTTTTAGACTTCTATGGCATATTAATCTTTGTTTTCTTTATCCTTGTAATATTAAGACTTTTTAGATTTATTTATAAGGTTGATCTACTTGATTCTCTTAATTGTAGAACATCTTAGCATTGACATTAGACCTTATTATTGGCTTTTTTTTATAGGCATAGGAATAGTACTTCTATAATTGACATTAATAATACATGAAATTTTTTTCCTAAAAGTGTTGACAAGCTTGTGAAGAGTTACAATGGTTGCAAATCTATTCTCACTTCTATGAAGTGTAGCATCCAAAATTTATTTTTCTTCCATTTATATAATAAATAAATTTAATAAATTGAAAAGTCTAATTAGAAAAGAGTAATTTGAATCTTCTAATATTCAATTAAAATTTCTACAAAGAATGATAGTCTATTCTTGTCAAGAAAAATAAATAAATAAATATTGATAGTCTATAATCTTTAAAATATAATAATAACTAATATGATAATCTATTCACTTCTAAAATAAAATAAGAATAAAAAATCATATTTTAATCAAATTAAAGACTTTAAATCATAATAAAATTCTAAAATAATAATAATACAACCTTATAGTATTCAAAAAAAAAAGTAGACAAAGTAAAGATAGATTTAAGATAAAAATTAAAATAACTATTACCAAATACAAAGAGATTAGAAATTTTCAAGTTAAGACAAGAATACAAGAAAGGTATTACTAAGAAAGAAGAAGGTCTTACCTTTGTTTCCATTTATACTATCTAGTAAAGAAACTACATAGTAATGATTTATAAATCATCCAACATATGTCTAACTTATGAGATAAGTTTTTCAAATGTGCGCCATACGGCAAACTTATAGTATAAGTGGCTAATATGTGTGACATGTGGCCAACTTATAAATAAGTGGTCAAGATGTATAACATGTGACTAACTTATTGGCTAAGTTTTCAACTTGTCAATCACCTAGAAATACATGTAGAATCAAATTTGTATCTATAAAGCCTCTAAAAACTTCTCCATAAGATATTACCAAATTTACTTATTTTTAGTTCTATATGATTTTTCTTATCCTCTTAATTACTAATACCAATTTTAATGCCTATTATAATAATATATTTTCAAGGCTTTTTATATTCTTTATCTAAAATTTCTTATCTCATATTAAAAGATTTTATAGAAATAAAAAAAATAAAACCAAATTAATTCTATTTTAAGCTATAAAATTATAAATTTTAGTATATATATATATATATATATATATATATATATATATAAAATAAATTTGGGTCAAGTTTGTGAATAAATATTAAGTCATCCTATCTTATTAATATGTTTGTGATAAGTTTGTTGCAAGTAAAATAATTCTATGAATACAAAATAGGATTAAATATTAAACATCTTACTTTAAAAATAATTACAGAATTAAATATTGATCACGTATGGCCCTTCATAAAATTAAAAATCCAAGATCTAAAAATAGGTTAAGTTTAGGAAATAATTTAACTTGACTGAAATAAATATTCTTGAAATTTTTTTTAATTTTATAATATTTAATCTGTAGTATTTTATATGCATCTAGAATAAAAAAAATATCATTCTTGTAGTAGAAGAGAGATTTATAAGATGTAAAATAGATTAAAGTTAAAATGTGTATTTGACATCATATAAGTAGAAAGTTTAAACTTTAAAAAAATTAGTTAGATAAGTACTTACTTTGTCTAGTAACTTAAAAGAGGAAATTTATTATAAATCTTTTTAAAAAAAATAATTTAAATTTTCTAAAATATTTACATAAAAAAATTTAATATCTAAAAATAATTTTAAAACTATTTCATTTTCATTTTCTATAAAAGGATTTCAAAATTTAAAACTATTTTTTTACAGTACTTACAATTAGTTTTATCCATATATGTGTTTTCTAAAACTTTTTTTAAAAGTTTTATATTCTTAAATTTAATTCTTTATTTATATAAATATATATAAATTATTATTGATATCTTTAAAATTTTGAATTTGATAACTAAAATCTATTTAGTAATTACCTCAAATTATTTCAAAGACAAAATTAGATTTAAAAAGTAGTATATTTAAGTTTATACATGTAATTGAGATTATTTATTTAAATAATATTTTTATTTTATTTTTAAATTTATATTTAATCATTCTTAATTATTATAATATATTATAGAATTTAGAATAAATTTATGTATTAATATTTTACAAATAATTCTTTCTATAATTAAAAAAATATCTCAATTTATTTAATTACAAGAAATGATAATTAAAAAAAATTAATAACTCTTAAATAATTATTAATTATAAAAATAATAAATCTAAAGTAATTTTTATATTTAAAATTGAGCCTCTATAAAATAATATTTTGTGGACTAGTAAACATCTATTAATTTATAGAAATTATTAGCTAAGGCAAAGAGACAAATAATGTAGCATTTATAACTAATATTTTTTTCTAGTATTTCCAATCTTTACTTTCTATTTTGTGTTCTACATTAATTAAATAACAAACATATTTT